TATTAATATATATATGTAAGTATATTTATTGGTTATATGTATGTAAGAACCTATTTATGGACTTTATATTCTAAAACGGAACTGAAAGACAGTTTACCCCACACAAATATGTATGTGCATACATATGTACATATATTGACAATAAAAACTCTTCAATTGCTCACACACCAAATCAAACACATTCACAAACATAAAGAACTAGATATGGACACACTCTCATCCCAAGTGTCATTTGTATTATATTCACTATAACGGAACCGATATGCATGCTATCGCTTACCCCATCCACTCTTCGTTTGCCAGAATGCATTGTCGTATGTGTAAGTAATATGTGTTGTATATATTTACACGCACGATTCGTGGGGCTAATGTATTGTCAGAGGTGGTTGGGTCGACGGGGGTGGGGACTGTACACATATGCATGTCTGTGACTTTTGTAGATTTGTTTGTGTACATATAGATATAGCAAAATAACCAGGCGCACAGCATTGATTAGCAAGCGAACCAAAGCCAAAGCAAAATGTTCATGCGAGCGAAGTGAATGAGTGAGTGAGTGAGTAGCCAGCCAGGCAACAATAACAACAACAGCAACAAGTACACACAACAATAAAGAAACACATATTCATATACAACAGGCACAGCAACAACAACAACAACCACACAACCAACGGCAGCACACAAAACGATACACACACAAAACTACTAAAAGAGACAGAGAGATGAGGCCGACGGACACCCGAGACGGCGTCGCCGACGACGACGTCGACAGATAAACAACATTTATATTCATGTACCCGGCAGTAACAAGAACAACAACAACGCAAGAAGTGTGGCGTACACAAACGCACACAAACAGAAAAGAAGAAAAACAACAACAAAAAAACGAAATCAAATAACATATGTATGTACATATTGACAAACAAGTGAACACATGTATGCGCATATAAGCATACATGAGTATGTGAGTATGCGTATACATATACATGCATTGCACTGGCACGATTCATCCACCGCACTTGGCGCTCTGCTCTCTTCGCTCTCCTCGTCTACCTTTGCAACTCATTCAAACTCATTTCTACGCTCATGAAAACAGAGACGCCAACGTAGCAGCAGCGCCAGCCTCAGCAGCAGCAGAGTTGCTACGTGGGTCGCAGCGGTAAATGGAGAGGGAAACGAGCACATAAACGATAACAACAACATATTCCTACATACATACATACCTATGTACATACTTACCTACTTATATTATTAGCTGTCGCTGCTCTGTTAGATGTGCTCTCTCTATTGTCCACACACTCGCTCGCTCGGCCACATAAATGGCAATTACAATAAACAACCGGTATTAAAAACAGTTTTAAGTCCCCCCAATCATTAACACAGGAACGACGCAAACAAAGCAAAACTACAACCATCAAAATTGTCAAAAGCGTTTGAGTTGAGAAGGAAAAACACGACTACATATTGCACTAAATATCTCACTAGTCAAAACATTTGCTGCTTATCAAAATTTATTATATGTATTTATTTAACCAAAATAATTTCAAAGATTTGTCAGCTATGCCAACTTACTTCGGTGACTTTTGTTGGGTGTGCACCATAATGAGTGAGTACGAACAAGAGCACAAGAATTCGGTGCAAAATCGTAAATGAGTCAAAAGCGAAAATGCAATTGAATAGGCAGCGGCCGAGAAGGTCGATCCTAATATTGTACAATGTGAAACATGAGAGTGACGTCACATTTAACACGTACGATAAATATTTTAATCGTTTGAGTTCATTTCCATGAGTGTAATCAATGTAAATTGCTCACCCTGCGGTCAGTGTTTTTCATAGAGCTTATCAGTTTTCTGCCCAACACAAATTGAGAGCAATTTATTTTTCCTTTGACTAACGAGCAGTGGAAAATTCTTAAGGCGTGAGCTTTGATTGATGTCAATGTCTGATAGCTTTTTGCCCCATCATACACAGTTGACCTATGCGTTAAGCTCATGATTGTTCTAATGAGCACTGGCAGATTTGAAATTCATACATAGCACATATATGTACATATATATAAATGTATTATATTGTATATTTTTCAAATATATGCATTTCAATATATTTCGTATTTAAAATTTAAAGATAATATTTATATGTATAGTTTATTATATTTACTTTCAATATATTTACTTAAAACATTTGTAATATATTATTTTATTTACGTTGTACTAATATGCCTGACCGCCACTGTTCGGAACAAAAACTGTAGTTCTGTAAATTTAATATTGTACATATATTACTATATATTATATATCATTATTATATATATGTATTACTGTATTGATATAATTTTTTTAATGTTTTAATATTCATTTATCAACGCACCTATGTATACTCATTTTTCTGACTTCGCCTGTTTACCTCAACGTCTGCATATTTTTCTGACCGCCAGTGTAGTAAAATAACTTATAAAGAGCCGATAATCGCTCGAATTAAGTTGTCGTTGTTGTTGGTGTTGTTGTTAGTGAGAGTGACGTTTACATCAACAACGAAGTCAAGTCCAAAGACGCTCACGGCTATTGCGACGTCATCAAATAAGAAGAGACTCAACCTAAGAGAAGAGTCTCACAGCAGTAACAAAAATAAGCACATACACACACGCACGCATGTACACACACGTACATACATATGTGCATACTTAAATACATACATATGTAAGTATGTAAGTATATACATATGTACATATGTATATACATATGGATGTAAACATATCTTGAAATGTCGGTCTTCACGTGTTTAGCTGTTGTTGCCTATTACGTTTCGTTTTCATGCCATTTCTGGTTTTGGCTTGCTCATTACAAGCGTACATATTTATATACATACATATGTATGTATGGATCTGTGATATGTGCATTAACATATACCGGCACATACATATGCATAATATATACATACACACATCCAAACAACCATAAACACAATTTGAGAACGTCGACGGCGACGGCGACGTCGTTGTTACCGTTTTATCTGCGCGCAGCAAAAGCTACTTCTACTCTCACTACATATGTATGTACATACCAACAACATTAAATATACATTTTGCCTACATGTGTCTACGTGCGCTTGCTAATCATTTCTGTGCGCCTGCTTTGTGCTCATGTTTATTTGTATATATCGAGCAACACAAACGCACAAACCACATATGCAAAAATAAAATAAAGCCCGCTACATACACTTGAGCATACATATATTTATGCAGTTAGATAGTATGTAGAAATGTATGTGAACTACAACAAAAATACGCTGAATAAGCGCTCAATTACAAATGTGACTGCGAGTGTGTATACTTACATACTTTCTATACGCTGTTGCCGTTGTCGTCGCTGTTGTTGTTGTTGTCTGTTGAGCCGAGACTCGGCTTGCTTAGAGATTAAACACACTGGCACACACATACGTATACTCGCGACGTAACGGTTTCGTAAGGCTGCTTACGTTAAAGCAGTATTCGCTTTGAGTATGGTATTCACAGAGCCACTCAGATTTACACTCACAACGCAACACGTAAGGTTGACATAGATTGCAATGCTTAATTTCGTGACTGCTTTGCGAGCATGTATTGTATGTAGGTATGTTCGTACATATGTACTGTGTGTATGTGAAGAAGCACCCCCGTACACTCACGCGTAATGAGTAACATTGCGAGATTTTTACACTACACTGCACTCCCACTCCTTTTCTACTACTGCTCGCGAATCGCGATCTGCGCGAATTGCCCAAATTATATTCCACTCTTTAGCGCCTCACCCTGCTGGTTAACATCACTGTTAAATAGCACTGCGTAACATAATGAGCACTGTTAAGAATCTTTTTAAGGCTGTTAAGCCCTCAAGAGATTATCTTTTGAGATTTATAGTAAAAAGCAATAAATAAAAAAAAAAAAATGACTTGATTAATAAATAAAAACTGTAATTGAAATTAAATTAATTATTTTATAATAAATCAAAACAAACTGTTATTTGAGCAACGTTTTATTTGTACAATTTTCTCTTTGAATTAAATTTTTGCTGAATTATAAATCCATTCCGTTTGGGGAATTGAAATTTTGGTTTAATCCTTAAGAAAAATATTCTGTGCGCCCTCTGCGGCCTGTGCGGACAGGTCCGTTAACTCGGCGGCGCATGGCACACAAACTGACAATAATAATAATTGTTAGTATAATGCCAACAAATAGAAGTAGGCCTATGATAACAGTGGTATCATGAAGTGTTCCTTTTGCTATATTTTCATCGTAATTTATAGTTGTCGTATCACTACTCAATACATGATGCGATTGCCTTTGCATATGAATATTATTAACGTTTCTGCTTGGCGTTGACGGTTCCTTTCCATATTCCCGATCGTTTGGATCTATTGGATCTACGAGATGTTGTATCATGGTATGATATCTGCGATCAATTTGAGTGGAATTATTGTCTGTGCCTTTATACATAGAATCGTAATGCTCTTTCTCATATATCGAATCATAATAGTCTACAAAGTTTGTTTGATTCAATTCTTGATTTCTTTCTTCTAGAACTGCGTCAGCTATCCATTGATATTCTTGATCTAGAGCAGTTAGATTTGTTTCGGTTGCATTTTCTAGATGGGTTTGATTTGCAAGAATTGGTGGATATATTCTTTCTAAGTCTACCGACAGTAATTTTTCAGTTACCAATGTTTGCTCAATAGTTTTCACTTTTGTTTGGTTGAGCTGTTCTTTATCAGAATTCATCCATGAAGTCGCAGTCGTAGATAACTGAACTGCCTGATAGATCATTGCTGATTGATCCGTCCCATCACTAGGATGTTTTTCAGATCCACTTACAATAATCTGACCTTTTGGATGCAGTTCTTCTAAATTATCTGTCAATGGAGCATTAGCTGGCTGATTTGTTGTATTTCGATCGGTCTGAATAGAGTGATATATTCGAAAGATGTTTTGATTAAGCGGATCTATGTGTGGTATATTGGTAGATGGATCCCTATGATCCTTAAGATAAGCATCAGTTGAGAGATAGTTTTGATCAAAATTATGATTTCTTTGCTCCTGTTTAAGTCTCTTGCCTTCCACTGTACCCTCAGTCTGGAGTCCTGGATGGTTCTCGACTGTCTGATCCATTGGATCACTGCACACATATTGCTGTGGCTGTTTCTCAGCTGTGTCCTGGCAAATCAGCCGCTGGCTGAGACTACTGCAGACGCAGCGGTCCAGCTGCAGGCAGGGCTCCGTCTGATTCTGGCGACAAGTGGGAACGGTGTTGGGTGTACGACCACTCAACAGATGACTCCAGCTGAAGTACTTTTGCCAGCGAGTGCTCCGACAACGTAACTCACACTGCTCGGCAGGCTGGAGTAGATGCGGCGCCGGCTGGCAGCTCAGCGACTTGCGGCTCTTCACGTAGCCGGGCCAACAGCGACAGCGGCCAGGCGAAATGCAATCGCCATTGCGACAGGCGTGGCATTTCGGCTGGCAGCCGGCGTTGCTGAACTCCTGCTCGCTCGGCGTTTCGTAGCCCAAGTCGCAGGTGCATTGCTGTGGAGCGGTGCACTGGGCGTGCAGGCAGCGGGGATTGCAGCGCGGTCGACACCCGCCCGGTGTACCCTCATAGCCCTTGCAGCAAACCTCACGCAGACTCCAGCTCTACCGGAAGAATTTTCAGTTCAGGAGAATCTCTTTCCACATGATTCACACCTACCACTTCTCCGTTAGTGCTGTTTGCTATGTGGGGCACTCGCTCGTGGCACACGGCTCCCTGCTGTGCTCCCAGCCAGGGGAGGAAGACGAGGCTTAGGCCTAGGGCCAGCCATGATCGGCTCATGGATTCCAATGGCGGTTACAAAAATTCTGGGTTTCTCACTTGAAATTTATAAGCAAAACTTGCCGCGATCTGAACTCAAGATTAGCCATTGCCCAAACGTTA